TCGCAAGAATTGACTAATCACAGTCGAATTTGAGGAGAATAATCGACTTTGATTGGTCAATTTTTGCGATTCACGACTTTACGACTCGCATTGTAGACCCAGCATAAGGCCCCGGACACACACTTTTTCGTAACAGTAACAGTAGGAATTTGACCAATCGCGTTGCTCGATTCGAAAACGTACGGCCGTACGTTCCCGAATCGAGTAACACGATTGGTCGAAATCCTACTGTTACTGTTACGAAAAAGTGTGTGTCCGGGCCCTAAGGCAGGGCACACACACTTTTCGTAGAACGTAACAGTAAGGTTTCGACCAATCGCGTTGCTCAATTCTTACTTTTAAGGTTACAGACGGCCGAATCGAGCAACGCGATTGGTCGAAACCTTACTGTTACGTTCTACGAAAAATGTGTGTGCCCTGCTTAAAGCGGGGAACACACACTTCTGCACAACGCAATGCGTCAGCATAAGAAAATTGATTGGTTTATTTCCTTATGCACATGTATATGGACCAATCAATTTTCTTATACTTAAGGCCATCGTACACAAAATGCATATAGCTTAGCATAAGCGTAGCATAAGACCGCTAAACCAATGAGCATCCAGCATAAAGTCGCTATATTGATTTACATAAGATGCTCCGTGGTCCAGCGGACTTAATGCTATGCTTATGCAGCCTATGCACGTTTGTGTGCGATGGCCTTTACGTCGTATGCGTTGTGCAGAAGTGTGTGCTCCCCTTAATTTTGTTGATAAACTGGATCTCGAACGAGGGTCGCAAGGATCGCGACTGGACGTATCGATCGCGGCGCTCGCGAGATATCGTGCGAATTACAAACGTAACACACCACTTATATCATAAATACATCATGATTTCGACCCAAAGTTCGGGTGCTGCGCGTTCCCGTGTACCTGCCTATTTTACGGAAAATATGGATACTCCCTTGTTCCCGTGAGTGTCCCGATTCGCAGCTCGCGAGGATCGTATCCGCCCGCTCGTGTCCGACGTCCGCATTCGAGTGCGTCTCCAACTGCGTCGCGGTGCATCGACCGACCGACGGACGTTCGAGCCGGGCGCAGTGTCTTGGTAAGTACGGTTCTCCAGACAGCGAATACGCGGAGACGCACCTCGCGACGAGTTCGTCGCGATCGTCGTGATTTCCCGGTTCGACGCGCGACGGATCGCTCTCGCGAAATCGACACCGAAATCCGACCGCCACGGGACTCAGGACGGTCCGCCTACGATTGTTCGCAGATCGGTCAACTTGGCAACCGACGGCGGCTCGAGATTCTTCAGACTTGGTCGGCAGAATGTTCTCCAAACGGCCGAGACGGTTGATCTTTCTGAAAAGTAGCTCGCAAGGTGATCGTCGCTTAAATTACGTCTAAAAGGATCGACTCACGAGAGCGCGAGGACTTGTCGTTCGATCGGTCTCGATATCCGCAAGAATGGACGATCTGCTGAAGGAGTTGGAAGCCCTAAAAATTAGGAGCGATTTCTGCGAGGATAATTCCTCGTGGACACCATGCATAGACTTGATTCAGAGGAGTTTTGCGCCGCAGAAGACGGTCGGGGTGGAGCGTCCATGCGAGGAGAAGGATTTCAGAGAGTACAGATTCGTTGTGGAGAGAAACTTGCGTAACGTTAGGTCTATGCTGCAACATATTTCCAGCAGTTGCAGAGAGAAACGCTTGCAGCTGAACAATGCCACAGGGATGGTCAGAGCATTTGGCATGAACCTCTTGCTGCTCATTGGAGAACACAGCGAAAAGAACATTTGGAATACAGCCGAGTGTGTCTCTATTTCCAAAGAATTGCTTGCTGGTTTCTGTGATCTGTACACCTGTCAGAGCGTTTCCCAATTTTTGTCGGAGAATGAGAATTTGCGCGACTTGTTGTTAACGTTAAGACCTACGTTACTGAAAGACACCTGGAAAACTTATCCGTCAGCCGTAGCGTGTTACAGATGGATTTTGCACGAGGCAGAAGTAAGTCCAGTCCTTATTCGGATTCTTATCTTGTATATTATTTAATTACATATATACTTTTCTTCTCACACAGAAACCAATTTTGTTTAATTATATCGGAGATGTTTTGCCCACTGCACTAATTATTCTCGATGACTATTTCCCTGATAATGTAGTAATAGGCCTGGAATGTATTTACCAGATTATACAGCATTCTTACATGGTAACAAGAGTTTATTCTTACGCACACATATACTATATCTTAATATGTATATATTCACTCAACAAATATTTCAGAAAAAAGGGCTGATAGACTCTGGTTATGCTAAACTGATTTATCATGCTTTGGAACATTTAACCCACCAAAAGGAAGTGAGATACGTTATTCCTTTGTATTCCTGCATGGCAAGTCTTTTAGCTACTATGGAACATTGGGATAATACCATAAATCTATTTGAGGTAATCTATTGAGCCACTCACGAGATTAGAACTTACAATTCAATCTTAAATACTATCATAATTTTCACTTTTACAGTGGACAACACGTGATGAAGTTCTCTCTACCTTGATAGGGAACATGCAACTCGAACAGAACATTGAATTACGGCATGTATACATGTTGAGTTTACCTCAACTCATTACAAGTATAGGCTGTGCCAAATGGTGTGGAGCGCTCATTCGCATACTGGCCGAATACTGCGAACATCATACAGATTTAAGGACATTAAAGGCAACATTAGAGGTACAATCTTAAAATACGATCCTACGCCACAATATGAAGTAAACCCTACGTCACATACAATATAAAGTAAATATAAAATAAAACGGATATTGATCTCAGTTTGCGTTTCTTTTTTACTTAGACCGCAAAGACGTTTCTCTTGATGTTCCGCCTGCGAGTGGCTGCACACTGTGCCCCCCTTTACACCGTATTCTTGAAGTTGCATTTCGATCTGACAGAGACACCAGTATTCGATCGAGCGATCATGCAGAATCTGGAGGATTGCATTTGCATGTTATACCAGCTATCGCCGAATGTAGGCTATACTGTAATTAATGACGATCGAATGCGTTCGGTACTCAACAGTAGCCTGCCGGTCGTATGCCAGGGCGGTGATATCAAGTATTTCGAATAATTTACGAGACGTGCGACAGTCGCATATTTGTATATACAATGTATTCTATGTAATTTGTGTGAAAATGCGCTCATAGAAATATATTCTCTGTGTAAACCTCTATAATGCAGAGATAAAAAGCGAAGCGCAATAGGTACTTATATATTTTATTTGTGATGTAAAGATATATCAATATACATTATTTGTAAAGTAAACGTTTTATTTGTTAGAATACATTTATTTTAATTATTAGCTCTTTGCGATATATATACATGATTACGAAAAAATCGAGCTCCTACGAGAGATCGCGCACACATGCAACTTCTTAATCGATTGTGACTAATAATGATTGTTGAGTAATCGTGTAATAGTTGAAGAATTGTCCGGATAATACTGCAATTTAACTTATGTAACTTGTAACTCAATATATAAATTTTGAATTGCATGTAATCGGATCGTCCAATTGCTTTTTACATTTTACTTTTTGTCTTTGGATCTCCAAAGCACAAGTTATTTCTTTCAAATTCGAAGAACTGTAAGTAAAGGTGTCGATATATTTATCAAGAAGTGAATGTTTGTTCCGCCAATGATAATCAACAAAAAGGTGCATATATTTAATCGACTACTAATTAGCAATAATTACATAGTTCTCACGACGTTTCGACCCAGGATTCGGGTCCTTCTCAAGTGATCTGATGATGAAAATGTACCATCGTCAAACGATTCTCAGTCAACAGTTCATGAGATTTTCACAAGAGTGGCAGAGAATGTTTTCCAATGGCACCGGTTCGTCTCATGCTCGCTGAGTTACATTATATCACAGAACAGCAAGCAAATTAATGTTAACGCTATGGACGACGGAAATGTTCGTTTCCTGGGTCGAAACGTCGTGAGAATTATGTAATTATTGCCAATTAGTAGTCGATTAAATATATGCACCTTTTTGTCGATAAATAGTTGTATGTGCCGTGGAAATCTCAGTTGGGATTGTTTGCTTACAGAGTTCGGTTGATAAAACAATTAATCTGAAAGTTACACATGAGAGTTAACTTTTAAAAACAAAACAAAGCGGATATCTCTTCTGTCTTTTTCTGTGAAAAATGTGATTTATTATTACTATGTAATAATTAGTTGGATCTATCTCTTTATGCTTATGTTCTGTAATCTTATCCTACACATAAATTTAGATTAGATCGGATCTGTTTTGCAAAAGCTATAGCATTTATCTTTTGACGTATATAATACTAGCTGGTTATCCGGGGTTTTGCCGGGCGTCTTTTTTTAAAAAGATTTTATTTGTGTTATTACATTTGTGTTCTAGCTAATCTTATCCACCAATATATGATTCATAAATACATATTTTCGGTAACTTTCCACATCACCTATGAGGTATAATACTATATATTATTGTATAAAGATTGTTTTTTATTTAGTAACGTTTATTTCCTGACGTCAATTATCAGTTAGATTTGCTCTTTTGCAATGTCTATTATCATCGCGTAAAAGAGTCACGGTGCGTCTCGCTTCGCGCGTACTTGGCGCGAGACACTACCGTGTCTCTTGATATCATGTTCTCATACTATGTGCATCTCTACCTATGTGAACCTGGCACCCGACTTTCAAAAAATTAATTTTTTTTACAGAAAACGTTAGCATTTTGTTTGTAGTTGTTTGTAGTGCCTTTCGTTTCGTTTGAAGTCGAACCGTTTAAAAATTATTTAATTACTTGTACTGACTATCACCAAATAGCAATAACACTTGAGAAATGCATTTTAAATTAGTACAAAGTATATCTGGCAGTTCATATCTCTGTTTTTCGCATGCTATCGCTGAGATGGCCTCAATCGTCTGTATGTTTAAAACACGAATAGATTTGTGAAGCTTTCATTTAATATCTACTGTTTGTTCCATCCAAATCATGTCGCCGCTCTTAGTCGTGATACTTGTGCTCCTCGTGACGTATAAACTATACAGATTTGCTTACAATAAACCGCCTAATACACCTCCAGGTAAGATAAATTAGATTTGTATAAATACTAAACTATTTTTTCTTTCAATTTTAATTTTTTTCGGTCCCAGACATGGAATATCGAATATCTTGTACTACTTTTATTATTAGTATTATTACTTATTATTACTATTAAATGTTTCCTGTCTAACTCAAATTATTAACAAAGAGCTCTTTTTTATTATATTTTAAATTATTCTTAACTGTTTAACAAATGTCTCTATTGTGTAAAAAGAATTCTGTCTAAGTTTTCAACGAATTTTAAATAATCGTTTTTATTTTTATGAAATTTTTGCGAGATAGGTATTATCAGAATTCCAATAGGAGGATCTTACTGGATGTTATTGTGGGGAAATTATAAATTTCCACACTTAACTATTGACTATTACGTGAAGAAACTGAAGTCAAAGGTTATCAGCTGCTACATGGGTGATTATTTTACAGTAATAGTTAACGATTACGACAGCATAAAAGAAGTACTCACAAGAGATGAATTTAGTGCGCGAATTACAAATGCGGAATTTATAATGGATCGAGCTTTCGGAAAGGAATTAGGTAATGAAAAATATAATTATTTGTTCACTTTTCGTTGTATATGCAATATTGAATATATTATACGTAATATAATTCTATATGATTATATGTTTCTTCGAGATTGGAGACATTTTACGCGATAACAATAATTAAAGTGTAAATAATAAACTTTTACAATGAGATAATAAATACTGTCAAATTACACGCAGGTATATTTTTCATCGACGGCGAAAAATGGCAAGAACAAAGAAGATTCGCTCTTCGCCACATGCGCGATTTTGGATTCGGTCGACGCCAGGAGAAGCTCGAGAGCGAGATTATGGACGAGATGTCCCTATTCCTCGAAATACTCAAGAGCGGACCCGCTTACGATGGAGAGAAGGTGCGGTCGCGACGAATCGAAGCTGTCTCGATCATAGACGTCCACCGACGTCTGTATATTCCCGTCGTGAAACGACGCCGCGTTTACTCGATACGCCAGTCTTCTTTTGTCCTGTGGCCGTTGCAGATTCCGTTAAGACCATGGACATTTACCCTAACGGGTTATTCGTGCCCTCGTCCACCAGTTTCAGCACCTGGTATAGAAGATCTAAATCTGGATCTATTATTTTTGTGTCTACACTTCTTCTTGGTAAACAATGGATCCGATCAATAACTGGGTTCGAAACTACCGGGCGTCTACACACGCTTCTGTGTCTCCTACCGGTGTCTGACCATCTCATCGTCCTATACCGCTGTATGGATTGCACAACGCAAGTGAAAGAAACACAGCAGGTGTTCACGGCCAATATCCGTCTTTTTCTAGTCAAGTCCGTAACATCTTTTCGCAAAGCATAGGTCCTGTACAAAGCATGTTCTTTTCAGTGAAAATTACATAATAAGTAATAGTGATACGTTTATTTAATGCACAATTTATATTTTTATTGATTTTGGAGAACAAAACAGATTTTCTTCTCTCAAGTTCTTCGTCGCGGTTCACCACATGGCAAAGAAAACGAAGTACATACCACACTTTGACAGTTACGTTCTTGAACGATCGAGTATTGATTAATCAGATCTCCAGAAATCTCCTCAGAGCATAGATAGAGACAGAGATAATTCGCGCATTTGCTATCTCATTTATCTTTTGAGGACTCTGTTTGATATACGAGCAAAACAAGGATGCAAACCATTATCTCTGTAGATCGATGAACCCTCTTTCGTCCCCGCGAGTTTGACGTTTCCACGCGGTGACTGGTGACCCGTCGTCGATGTTCGTGCACGTGTCGCCCTTTTGACCCGCCGCGCGCGTTTTGCTTTGTTGTAAAATATATAAAAATATTTTAGCGAAGAAAAATAGAGAAAAAGTGATTTCATTATTCGTAGGAAATTCTAAAGGGTAACTTGGCGCTCTTCCCGGACATTCTGTACGCACCGGCGGGTAACAACATATGGAATATTATGTTTGGTCACAGATTTAACAGAAGCGAGCACGATGTCCCGCGACGTCTCTGTCGTGCGGCTGTAATGCTGCAAAGAGCAAACGACACGACCGGCGGGGCGATTTTTCAGCGACCATTCTTGAAACACTTTGGTAATATGTTTGGCTACAAAAACCACATGAAGGCAAGCAACATATTGACAGACATTATCAGGGTAAGTGGTTTGACAAACAGTTACAATCGAAATTCACACGCATCGAATTTCGATTGCCAAGGGTGCATTTAAATCACTATGTTTACGTCGTATGTTTTCAAAATTTTAAATCGCGTAGCGCTTTATCGGTTTACTTAGAAATTATACTTAATTTTTATATCAAACCGAGAAGAATTTGCAGTATAAACAAGCCTTTTTTAAAATAAATTTTAGATAAATCTAAAATTTTTGTATCAATATCGAGTTTTATACTTAGCAGGTTTTAATTTAACAATTTTCAGTTTTGATGGAATGAATAAACATGGAACATGAATATTAAATAAAGAAACACCTCAGTTAAAAAATATGATTGTATTTTATTCCGTAGAAATATATAGAGTACCAAAAACCTACGCTCACCGAGACTGACGACCGGGGATTTGTCGATAGATATCTAAAGAAATTGAAGGAGGAGAATAAGTTAGATAGTTTCACGGAGGAACAATTAATCATTTTGTTAATTGATATGATGTTTCCCGCTTTCTCTGCGGTACCAAGCACTATTACACATGTTATCAAGTACTTGATGCACCATCCCAGAGTTATGGACAAATTACAAAATGAGATAGATAATGTTGTCGGGACTGGACGACTGGTCACGTGGGAAGATAGAAAACAGTGAGTTATTATTGTACACTCGAGGAGACAGAATAATAAAAAAGAATTTTATTTCGGTTCCTAAGAAAACATGTTTGTCAATAATTTAATTTAATTATCTTGTTGATTACATTATCCTATTGATATTATATTGTTTTACATTTCACTAAAAAAAGGAAAGGTTGCAAGAAACCCAATTTATCGCAATACGCATATTTTCTTATCAAAATTAAAAAACGTGAGCTGTTTTATGACATTTAAAAAATGCATAGGCATAGAAGAAAGCAAGAAATATTACAATACGCATGATAATAAACTGGAAAACAGTTTACTTTTTTTATATATAAAACAATTCAGATTAGTTCAGATTTTTTTATATAAAAAGTATTACTATCACTTTCAAAAGTTAACATAGGTTCAATTTCAATTATACCATGTTCAACAATACAGATCCATTCTCATTTTGTTTTAGTTTGCCCTATGTGGAGGCGACAATACGAGAAACAATGAGACTTGAAACAGCCACACCTCTTAGCGTAATTCACAGGTGTAAGCAAAAAACCACATTAGGAGGCTACGAGATACCGGCGAACACACCAGTTTACACTAACTTGGCGGCGATGCATCATGATCCCGACTTATGGGACGAGCCTGAAATTTTCAGACCGGAAAGATTTCTGAAGGTCGACGGTCAATTAGGCAAAGATATTTCACTCCCCTTTGGTGCCGGTAAGTCGATATACATATACGTGATCTAGTGAAATCTAGCAAATTCTGCTGAATTTTTTCATCTATCAGATTAAATTTAATGATAATAATAACAATAATGAATTTATTTCTATACTTTTGTGTAGGTCATCGGCTGTGCGCAGGAGAAACTTTTGCCAGATTCACCTTGTTCGGGACATTGGCTCTTCTGTTACAGAATTTTAACTTCTTCTTCGTTGAGGGTGAGCCGTCAAGCCTTCAAGATAAGCTGCCGGGCTTGATCGTCACTCCCAAAGAGCTGTGGATACGCTTAGAATTGCGTTAATATTCGTTATTTTCTCGATAATAAGCAATCTCAAATAAGTATAAGTAAAATAGGCACATCACGTCCTGTCCTTTTGTGTCAATTAGTGCGCAAATTAGAAGTTATTACATAACACCAATACGGAAAACATGTATATCATGCATTTGATAACAGACAAAATTTCTTTGATAAAAATATAATGACATGTTTCTTGGTAAACTTTCGCGTACGATTAATTTAGTTTAACCTTATCATGTATTTTTTAGCTGTCGACAGAGTTGCGAAATTAACTTAATTAAAATAATTGAAATGCGCAGTTTAAATGCGCTTATCGTTAGGTCAATTTGAAAAGAGAAAACTACGTATTTCCAGTAATTACAACGTGCCACACGAAGAATTTACAAAATTGATCTTTTCGTGTTTTATAATATAATATATGCTGCCGCGTTTACTGAGTAGAAACGGAGAAAAATTGACGATGATTTAACACATGCTACATAAAGATAGCGGGTCACAAATAGTGACTTTAAGTAAACAGCATCACTTTAATACATGTGTAATTACCTGAGAAAGAAAAATAAGAATATTCTTAAAAAAACGCCGTTTTTTTTCAACAGTACATCTTTTAAAAATTTGAGATTCACAGCTACAAATAATTCCTCCTATAATTGCCGTTGTAATCAAGCGATTACTGTGTTTCAAACCCTTGAGAACAGAGAATGTTATGTCGCTTATACTTTTATTCTCGATGGGCCAGTATTATATACATTATTCACCTTCAATATCGTATCTTGACATGAAAATCGAGACAAAATATTCCATATAAAATTTCATAAAAATTCTAATAACATTTTTAATTCAATTTTTAAACTATCGATTCGAATTTTTATGTACAGAGAAATGCACTCTGGTTCAAAAATTTCATTACTTTCAATCAAGTAGAAATTCAGCGATCTATGCGCGAATATATCCGTTGTACATAGCTTTGTATGTGTCTGCTTTTATCTAAATGATTAGTGAACTATGCATTCCACTAGAAAAGTCCTGATTCGCAGCTCGCGACGATCGCAACCGCCCGCTCGTGTCCGACGTCCGCGTCCGAGTGCGTCTTCAACTGCGTCGCGGTGCATCGACCGACCGACGGACGTCCGAGCCAGTGCAGTCTTGGTAAGTACGGTTCTTCAGACAGCGAATACGCGGAGACGCATCTCGCGTCGAGTTCGTCATCGCGATCGTCGTGATACTCGTGATTTCTTGGTCCGACGCGCGACGGATCGCTCTCGCGAAATCGAAACCGAAATCCGACCGCCACGGGACTCAGGACGGTCCGCCTACGATTGTTCGCAGATCGGCCAACTTGGCAACCGACGGCGGCTCGAGATTCTTGAGACTTGCCCGGCAGAATGTTCTCCAAACGACCGAGACGGTTGATCGTTCTGAAAAGTAGCTCGCAAGGTGATCGTCGCCTAAATTACGTCTAAAAGGATTGACTCAGGAGAGCGCGAGGACTTATCGTTCGATCGGTCTCCGATATCCGCAAGAATGGACGATTTGCTGAAGGAGTTGGAAACCCTAAAAATTAGAATCGATTTCTGCGAGGATAATTCCTCGTGGAGTTTTGCGCCGCAGAAGATGGTCGGGGTGGAGCGTCCATGCGAGGAGGAGGATTTCAGGGAGTACAGATTCGTTGTGGAGAGAAACTTGCGTAACGTTAGGTCTATGCTGCATATTTCCAATAGTTGCAGAGAGAAACGCTTGCAGCTGAACAATGCCACGGGGATGGTTAGAGAATTTAGCATGAACCTCTTGCTGCTCATTGGAGAACACAGCGAAAAGAACATTTGGAATACAGCCGAGTATGTCTCTATTTCCAAAGAATTGCTTGCTAGTTTTTGTGATCTGTACTCTGTCAGAGCGTTTCCCAATTTTTGTCGGAGAATGAGAATTTGCGCGATTTGTTGTTAACGTTAAGACCTAAAAGTTACTAAAAGACACCTGGAAAACTTATCCGTCAGCCGTAGCGTGTTACAAATGGATTTTGCACGAGAGAACATGGAACTCGAACAAAAAATTGAATTACGGCATGTATATACATGTTGAGTTCACCTCAACTCATTATAATAAGTATAAGCTGTGCCAAATGGTGTGGAGCGCTCATTCGCATACTGGCCGAATACTGCGAACATCATACAGATTTAAGGACATTAAAGGCAACATTAGAGGTACAATCTTAAAATACGATCCTACGCCACAATATGAAGTAAACCCCACGTCACATACAATATAAAGTAAATATGAAGTAAAACAGATATTGATCTCAGTTTGCGTTTCCCTTTTACTTAGACCGCAAAGATGTTTCTCTTGATGTTCCGCCTGCGAGTGGCTGCACACTGTGCCCCGCTTTACACGGTATTCTTGAAGTTGCATTTCGATCTGACAGAGACATCAGTATTCCGACAGTCGCATATTTGTATATACAATGTATTCTATATAATTTGTGTGAAAATGCGCTGATAGAAATATTATATTCTCGTGTAAACCTCTGTAGTGCAGAGATAAAAGCAAAGCGCAATAGGTACTTATATATTTTATTTGTGATGTAAAGATATATCAATATACATTATTTGTAAAGTAAACGTTTTATTTGTTAGAACACATTTATTTTAATTATTAGCTCTTTGCGATGATTGCGAAAAAATCGAGCTCCTACGAGAGATCGCGCACACATGCAACTTCTTAATTAATCGATTGTGACTAATAATGATTGTTGAGTAATCGTGTAATAGTTGAAGAATTGTCCGGATAATACTGCAATTTAACTTATGTAACTTGTAAAACTCAATATATAAATGTTGAATTGTATGTAATCAGATATCGTCCAATTGCTTTTTACATTATACTTTTTTGTCTTTAGATCTCCAAAGCACAAGTTATTTCTTTCAAATTATTATAATATTTAGTTATATGTGCCGTGGAAATCTCAGTTGGGATTGTTTGCTTACAGAGTTCGGTTGATAAAACAATTAATCTGAAAGTTACACATGAGAGTTAACTTAAAAAAACAAAAGAAAGCGGATATCTCTTCTGTCTTTTTCTGTGAAAAATGTGATTTATTATTACTATGTAATAATTAGTTGGATCTATCTCTTTATGCTTATGTTCTGTAATCTTATCCTACATATATATTTAGATTAGATCGGATCTGTTTTGCAAAAGCTATATAGCATTTATCTTCTGACATATATATAATGCTAGCTGGTTATCCGGGGTTTTGCCCGGGCGTCTTTTTTTTAAAAGACTTTATTTGTGTTATTACATTTGTGTTCTAGCTAATCTTATCCACCAATATATGATTCATAAATATATATTTTCGGTAACTTTCCACATCATCTATGAGGTACTATATATTATTAATGCGTTTTTTAGTGGTATCCCCAGTATTTTAAATTCTTTAAAAGAATCGTACTTGGTGACTTTTCCTGTTCAGATTTTCCTGATCAATCAAATCGTAAAGAATTATATATGAAATAGAGGTAGAAAAGGCTGAATAATAAAATCGAATTATATAAATAGCCCGATATCTCGAAATTGGCGGAAGTTAAAACAACCACGGACATTTATCAAAAAATTCAAAAATTTATAAAGAAAGAACTCTTTTACTGATCCTCCATTTATTTGAAAAATTATTAAGTTACATATGCATTTTTATATTTTTCTTTCCTTATCATTCGCATTTTTTCTTGCATTATTTCATTCTGAAGGTGAGCAATATGTCGTTTCCCATAAGAACCTATGCTAAAAAGTCCAACTTTTGGAGTCAACGTCACCATGAAAAATTCCCCAAAAATTCACATAATTCTATTTAAAATTTTATAAAGCTGGCTGCACATTTTTTTGTAGCACCTGAACCTCCTCAAGATTTGGTTGATTAGTTTTTAAGTTAATAATGTGTTTAAACATACACCACCCGTAAGAATTTTATATATTAGTATAGATATTGGATTGTTTTTTTATATGTATCTTCTATGTTATATTAATAGGTTGGCCAATAAGTCCGTGCGGTTTTTTACTTATAAATTTATAAGTAAAAAAACCGCACTGACTTATTGGCCAACCTAATTTATACTTTTAGATTAATCACTTGTTTTTCAGAAAAGATTGTTTTTTATTTAGTAACGTTTATTTCCTGACGTCAATTATCATGTTAGATTTGCTCTTTTGCAATGTCTATTATCGTATCATGTTCTCATACTATGTTCATCTCTACCTATGTGAACCTGGTATCCGACTTTCGAAAAATTAATTTTTTTACAGAAAACGTTAGCATTTTGTTTGTAGCTATTTGTAGTAACAAAAATTTCGTTTGTAGTTAAATACATTAAAAATTATAAAAATAACTCGTACCCGACTTTGAGATATCTCAAATCCACTTGCGCAGTCTACTTCAGAATCGTTTGTAGTTTGTAGTGCCTTTCGTTTCGTTTGAAATCGAACCGTTCAAAAATAACAACAATTTAAAAAAATTGTTAAGACCTAACTTTGCCGCTTGCGCAGTCTTTTTTATAATTGTTTGTAGTTGATTGTAGTGATTTTCCTTTCGTTTGCAGTTGAACCGTTAAAAAATTATGATATTTTTGCAATAAACAAAAAGTGTAACTTTGCCAATTTTGGAATTTCTTTGGTTTTAATTGCGAACATCTGCACCTTTGTTATTCTTATTTTGCAGTACCCAGAAAATTATCTTGGCATTATCTTATTTCATTTGATGAAAGACCATTATCTAATTACTTGTACTGACTATCACCAAATAGCAATAACACTTGAAAAAGGAATTTTACAAGAGGACAAAGTATATCTGGCAGTTTATATCTTGTTTTCCGCCTGCTACTGCTGCGTAGTTCGTCTGCGATTAAGAGACGAATAGATTTGTGAACCTTTCATTTAGTATCTACTGTTCGTTCCATCCAAATCATGTCGCCGCTCTTAGTCGTGATACTTGTGCTCCTCGTGACATATAAACTATACAGATTTGCTTACGATAAACCGCCTAATACACCTCCAGGTAAGATAAATTAGATTTGTATAAATACTAAACTATTTTTTTTTCAATTTCAATTTTTTTCAGTCTCAGACATGGAATATCGAATATCTTGTACTGCTTTTATTGTTATTATTATTACTTATTACTATTATTATTTATTATTACTATTAAATGTTCT